CTCCTCATTTTCTCTTTGGTCTCTTTCCCTGCAGTACAAGCAAGTGGAGCAATACATGTCCTTCCATAAGCTGCCGGGAGACACGCGCCAGCGGATCCATGAGTACTACGAACACCGTTACCAGGGCAAGATGTTTGACGAGGAGAACATCCTTGGGGAGTTGAGCGAACCATTGAAGGAGGTACGGTTTTGGCAGTGTCCCTCATGAGGCTGAGGGGGCCATTAACATTTGACAAGGTGGGCCCCTGTGGACATCAACAAGCATGTCCGCGCCAGGTTTCGGTTTGAGCCAGGGCTTCATAACTACATCAGGCGAGCCCTGGTGGGTCAGACCCAAGGTCTGCCTCGTCCAGCATCCTATCTCACACAGTGGCCAACCGGAGCCCCCCAAAGGGCCTATAAGTAGGGCCCGAAGGCCACAGTCCTCCTTTGAAGTCTGACCACTCCATCTGGTCTTCGGAGGTACGCTGCCCCTCAATGTAGACGTTCCGTTTAAGTATCACAGCTAATAGCCATTGACAGACCTCTCTGTGAGCGATGACATCCGTCCCCTTTTAAATCCAGTCTAAGCCAATGAACATCACCCCATCCTGTGGAAAGAAATGCTATAACTGAATTGTATATTGTGTGATGGGTGACTCTGTTTGGTTTGTGCTGAATCTAATGCTGAATCTAGAGCAAAGTTTGAGTCCAGTGGCACCTTTAAGACCAACGAAGTTTAATTCTGGGTATGTTTTTTGTGCGCATACACACTTGAATGTGCTTGCACACGAAAGCTTACCAGGGCTCTTTTTGTAGAAAAAGCCCAGCAGGAACTCATTAGCATAATAGGCCACACCCTGACCCCACAGCTCATTAGCATATTAGGCCGCAGCCCCCTGTTGCCAGAAGTGTGGTCATCCAGCCACACCCACCTTTTGCTTCTTATTCTGTTTACCTTGTTTGTTGTCAAAACCCGGAGCCTTTTTTTGTAGCAGGGACTCCTTTGCATGTTAGGCCACACACCCCTAATATAGCCAATCCTAATGAGTTTCTGCTGTTGGGTTTGGCCCAGGGGTCGTTTCGTAGAAAAAGAGCTAGGGGGACTCATTAGCATAACTCATTAGCATATGCCACACCCCCTGACATCACCGGAAGTGTGTCATAAGGCCACACGCCCTGACATCACCGGAAGTGTGTCATAAGGCCACACACCCAGCCCCCAATGGTCCCGGCTGCCGCCGCCGGCCTTGCAGCTCCACTGCCAAGCCCTATGAGGGGCCTGGCGGTGGACCTGCAAGGCCGGTAGGAGTGCAAGGAAGCCCCGCGAAGGCCCTCCCTGGCCCCAGGCAGGGGTGGGGAGAGGCAGGGAGGAAGCAACTTACCCTCCCTCTTCTCCTGCCTCCTCCTGGCTGAATAAGGGCCGGAAGCGGGGCGGCCGGAAGCAGGGGGCGGGGCTTCGGCATGTGCCCCGCCCCCCGTACCTCACCCAGGGGAACTGCGATCCCCCGCGATCTCCCCCGAAATAACCTCTGGTTTGGCCTATTATGCTAATGAGTTCCTGCTGGGCGTGGCCAACTCAGGAGCCAGCCGGAACTCCGTTCCTGCCCCAAAATAGCCCTGCTTATACCCAGAATTAAATGTTGTTGGTCTTAAAGGTGCCACTGGGACTCAAACTTTGTTCTGTTGCTTCAGGACAACACGGCTACCCCACCTGAATCTAATGTCCATCTGTTTCACTGGGGGACCCTGAATTTTAGGGGAGAAAAGGAATGCTAACCAATCACTACAGACTATGCATTAGGTATTTGATTGGGAAGCGGGGGCAGGTTGAACCAAGAAAGTAATAAGCAAGAGAGTGTATCTGAGCTTATGCAAAGTGCATTCTGTTTAGTCCTGACGGGTGTGCAGGTCAGATTCTAAGAAGCGCTTGTCGCCAGCTTCCTTAGTCCTTTTATAGAGATTAGAGACTTTAAAGCAATGAGCGTTTCCTTAAATCATGCTTGAGCCATGTCATCTCTCCTGAAACGCAGAAACCAGAATAGCTAATAACCCCAGTCCTCTTAAAATTAGTATTTTTATTGTCAAAAAGCTTTTCTTTTTAGGTTTTAGTCTTTCGGTGTCTAAGTATTAGGTAAAGGTAAAGGTTCCCTTGCTCGAAAGCCAGTCGAATCCGACTCTAGGGTTGCAGTGCTCATCTCCGTTTCAAAGCTGAAGAGCCAGCGCTGTCCGTAGACGTTTCCGTGGTCATGTGGCCGGCATGACTAGACGCCGAGGCACATGGAATGCTGTTACCTTCCCACTGAAGTGGTACCTATTTATCTACTTGCAATTTCTTGCTTTCAAACTGCTAGGTTGGCAGGAGCTGGAACTAGAGACGGGAGCTCACTCCGTCATGCGGCACACTTGGGTCTCGAACTGCTGAACTACCGACCTTCCACAGCCTGCAGTTCAGCGTCTTAACCACTTGAGCCACCGCAGCTACTGTTTAAAGTATTAGCCAATGGCTAATTTGTAGCCAGTTTGGTCTAGTGGTTAGGAGCGTGGACTCTAATCTGGGAGAACTGGGTTTGATTCCCCACTCCTCCACACGCAGCTGCTGGTGTGACCTTGGGTCAGCCACAGTTCTCTGACGAGCAGTTCTGGAAAGAGCTCTCTCAGCCCCACCTGCCTCACAGGATGTCTGTTGTGGGGAGAGGAAGGAAAAGGAGTTTGTAAGCCGCTCTGACACTCCAAGTGAAGGGCGGGGTATAAATCCAATCTCCTCCTCCTTCTCTTCTTCTTTCATCATCATCATCATCATCTCCATCATGAGGTTGCTTTCAGTTTTATAAAAAAGAATCTTTGTGTCTGCATTGCAAGACACAGTATGCTTTCCCCAGATTCCTTGAATTCCGGGATATCAGAAGGATACACTGATGGGACAAAAAAAATAAACCAATTTCCCCAGCATCCACTATCTCTGCAAATGTGAGGGAAATGGGGAACAGGGTCCTTCCTTCTTAGTTCCTGCTCCTCCACGTTCTATGAACTGCAGCAGGAGTGCCCCAGGAGTAAAAAGAAAATGAATTCCAGTGGATACAGAGATATGGGAATCTGCTTATTCTTAATCTTCAGACATAACAGAGGATAGTAGGAGAAAGAGACGCAGGGTTGCTGTTTTTGGCAGCAACCCTGTGTCTGCCACAATGTCTAGTTCGTGAGCGAATCTGGAATGGGGGACTTGCTTTTAGGGTGGAGAGGGATTCTTGTCCTCCAAGTTCTGTGAAATACAACGCAAGGTTGTCAGAGCAGTGCCCCAGGAGTAAAGAGGAAATGAATCCCAGTGGATACAGAGACTGGGGAAAGTGGGAGAATGAGACACACGGCTGCGGTTTTCAGCAGCATCCCTGCGTCTGTTGCAATGTCTAATCCCTGAGTGCATCTGGAACTGGGGTGGTGGTGGTTTTAAGTTGGAGAAGGAAATGGGATTTGGACTCAAGGTTTCTGAATTCCTCCTCTCCCTTCCCCTGCCCCTCAACCAGGAGATCATCAATTTCAACTGCCGCAATCTGGTGGCCAATATGCCGCTTTTTGCCAATGCCGATCCCAACTTTGTGACCGCCATGTTGACCAAGCTGCGCTTTGAGGTCTTCCAACCGGCGGACTTCATCATCCGGGAGGGAACCGTGGGCAAGAAAATGTACTTCATCCAGCATGGTGTGGTCAGCATCCTTACTCGTGGCTCCAAGGAAATGAAGCTCTCTGACGGCTCCTACTTTGGCGGTATGTTATAGAGCTGGAACGAAATTTCGTGCCGAAAATTCAGTGAATGCCTATTCTTTTGAACGAAAGTCTGCGGCTCGAGGACACCCAATGAGCAGGGTGAGGATTTGAATCTGGGTCTTTCTGGTCAAAGTCCAGCAGTCTAGCCAATTATACCACACTGGAAAATAAAGTATTCACAGTTCACAAGTATAGAAAGAAGGGCTTTCTATACCATGAAATCTCGTGCGGCAATAAGGCTTCAAGGTGCCACATGATATGCCTCCCCTCCAGAAATGAGGTACATACACAACCTCTCTTCCTGAACAATCCATACCTACCGCTGTATGCCTAACACTGAGACTCCTTCGATACTTTCCCCTTCCCCTGTGCTGGTCCTGAGACCCCAGCTAGGATACTCATAGACAGGCCTCCAGCTAGGACTGGTGGTGGTAGAAAGTGCCATTGAGTTGCAGCCAAGTTACAGCAACCCTGTAGGGGTTTCAAGGCAAGGGAAGAATAGAGGTGGTTTGCCATGGCCTGCCTCTGCATAGCAACCCCGGTCTTCCTTGGCAGTCTCCCATCCAGGTCCTAATTATGGTCAACCCTGCTTGGCTTCCAAATCTGATTGGGCTTGCCTGGGATACCCAGGACAGGACCCTGGTAGGATTATAGAATTAGAACATTACAAGGGTGGACCCACAAGAAACTGGCGGGGAGGAGGCATTCCCCCACCTTTGCTTCCTTCCCTCTCCCCCTTTCTTTCTCTCCCCAAGCCAATCCCTCCTTTTTCTTTACAACCCTCCACCAAGTCGATCTCTCTCCCCCCCCCCGCAAGCCATCCCCCTTCTTTCTCCCCCCGAAGCAAATACCTCCATCTTTCCTTTCTCTTTCCCCTCCAAGCCATCACCCCCTTCCTTCTCTCCTCCTTTTCCCTTAACTTTGAGCCTGGCAGTAGTGGCAGTGCCTGGGAGGCTGAGTAGGCTCACCAAGTCCCGCTGGGGGGCAGGGAAACCCCTGCCCCAGAGGCCCGTTCCCCGCCACCAGTGGATCGGGCCCTGGGGGGAACTCCACCCCCAAAGCACGGGACGTGCCCGGCGTCAGCACGTCCCCCGAAAGGGACGCAGCCACGCCGGGCGCGCCGGGGGCGGGGCCATGCTCATCCGAGGGGAAACCGCAGCCCCGCCCCCGGCGCACCCGACGCAGCCGCGTCACTTCCAGAGCAAGCTGGGAGTCCCCCGCTGCGGTTTAAGGTAGGACTTGGCAACCCTAAGGCCAAGCCAGTGCAGGCTCAGCCACCCGCCGCTTTCCGTCCCTCTTTGCTCCTGGCTTCCCAAAAGCGGGAAAGCCTGCGAAGGCCTCGTCGCTAGGAAAGCCGTTGCTAAGGGCAGTCATGTGCTCAGAACAGTCACTTTCCAAGGAGAGAGAGGGAGGGGGAGAGAAAACTCCTCATCATATATACCCTATATAGGCCGATATACATCCATTGTATGTGGCCCTACTTAGGAAATGTAAAATGCTTGTAAACCGCTCAGAGCCTCCGGGATTGAGCGGTATAGAAATTGAAAGTATAAATAAATAAAGAAAGAAATCATTGGTAAGTCCTTTCTCTGCGCATGAGTAGAAAAGGCTGTTGTACTTTTGGGGGGATTTAAATATCCCCCGTATCCTTTTTTAAAGTTTTTAGATTTTTCTGCACAGCTGGGGGGTGCCCCAAATGTGCAGGATAATCTCTATTTCCCTCCATGTGCCCCTGATCTGCGGAAATAAGTATCCACACGCAGGGGGCCATGTTGGGAATTAGATATATAGATTAAGGTAATAGGACCAGTGTTCCCTCTAAGCTGAGTTAGTGTGAGCTAGCTCACAGTTTTTTAGCCTCTGGCTCACACATTTTTATCTCAGCTCAGGAAGGATGGCTCCAGAGCAAACTAATTTATGCAGCAGCCAAAGCTCCTGCTCACAACTTTAATGCCAGTAGCTCACAAAGTAGAATTTTTGCTCACAGGGCTCCATAGCTTAAAGGGAACATTGAATAGGACCCTATCATAACGGAATTGTTCAGGACCATGCTTTCATAAGGGCAACCAGACTGTGGACTGTACCACTGAGTATGATATGTGTTGTCTGTTTTTCTATGTATGACCTTGCTTTGCTGCATTGTTTTCTACTTATATAATGCTGTTTTCTCCCTGAATCGTACTTGGATGGGAGGCCACCAATGGAGACTCCGCAGAGGCAGGTGACGGCAAACCACCGCTGTACATCTCTTTCTTGCCTTGAAAACCCTACGAGTTCACCTCAATGTTCCTTCTGATCCCCCCCCCCCAACGGAGCAGTTCACATCCTGAGCAGAGTAGAACTGCTGGGATCTTAAAATGAGCAATGGGCAGTGCAAGACGCCGTGCGGTTCCAGATTGCTGCTGAGCGGGGCTTCCTGTGTTAATGAGCGGCCGCTCACGCATGCACAGCTTAGAGGGGACAGTGGTTGCTGTAAGTTAGCTGTGGTTTGACGGCACTCTCTGCCACTGAGGCGATTTTCTGCATTGTTCAACACATTCTGTGCAATACCCTATGCTTTCCTTCAGATTTCTGAAGTCCTAGTCCTATTATATTGCTTATGAGATGTCCTGGCCTATTAACTGCAGCCAATTCACACTGTGCAATCCACCTTGAGAGCCAGTTTGGTGTAGTGGTTAAGTGCCCAGATTCTAATCTGGGAGAACGGGGTTTGATTCCCCACTCCTCCGCTTGCAGCTGCTGGATGACCTGGGGCAAACCATAGTTCTGTCAGAGCTGTTCTTGAAATAGCAGTTCTGGAAAGAGCTCTCTCGGCCCCACCTACTTCACAGGGTGTCTGTTGCGGGGAGGGGAAGGGAAGGGAAGGGAGATTTTGAACCACTCTGAGACTCCAAGTGAAGGGTGGGGAATAAATCCAATCTCCTTCTCCTCCTCCTTGCGTCTCAGAGGGCTATAAATAAAAATAAGGTGATTGTGGACATACGATTCCTGACTCTCCTCATCCTTGTAGAGATCTGCCTCCTGACTCGGGGTCGGCGCACGGCCAGTGTGCGGGCTGACACCTACTGCCGCCTCTACTCTCTCTCGGTGGACAACTTCAACGAGGTCTTGGAGGAATACCCCATGATGCGCAGAGCCTTCGAAACTGTAGCTATGGACCGGCTGGACCGCATAGGTGAGTGGATGTAGGCAAAAGATAGAATGGGGTCCCCAAAGAGGGGCCTGTGGGCACCCGCCAACACTTTTTCTGGGCTCCCGCCAAGAGTTTTGGGAAGTGGGCGGGGCCAGGTAGGGCTTTTGCCCAGCAAAGCTCCTGATTGGCCATTGGCTGTGCAGATTTTTTTAAATGGTGCTTGGCAGCAGCTGCCACTACTGTACAAGGATCTGCACTGTGCGACTGAGGTTCAGCCGCGGCAGCCAATTTGGGGCTGGCTCCACCTCCTGTGGCAGCCATTTTGTGGCTGAGTCCACCATGCCATGTCAAATTCCAAACGTGCCCACGGGCTCAAAATTCCTGGGGACCCCTGAGCTAGAGCTTATGATATTTCCTGCCTCATCTATGGTTCCACCACCCCAGTGACCTGGCAAGAACCAAGTCCCATGCCCACACATATCCATCTCAGTCATTTCTGGTGTGCAAAAAGAAAAACATTCAGGGCTGTCATCCCGATTAAAGAAATCTTAGCCAAATTCATCGCTAGTGTTCTTTTTAAAGCTACCCAATGTATCCATTGGCAGATTAATTAATTGAATTTGCAACGGGTACAAACAATGCTTCTGAAGCCAAAAAGTATATTTTCTTTTGCTTTGAGACGATGGCCCAGGCTAGCCCTATCTTGTCAGCTCTTGGAAGCTAAGCAGGGTTGGCCCAGGTTAGTATTTGGATGGGAGACCATCAAGGAAGCCCAGGGTTAGGACACAGAGGCAGGCAATGGCAAACCACCTCTGAATTTCTCTTGCCTCGAAGACCCCATGGATTGGCTGCAACTTGCTGGCAAAAAAAGAAAAAGAAGAATGTGTCATAGGAGGCTTTGTCTTAGTAGAGGTGTTCTCCCATCTCTTTCATGCTGGAGCGAAGAGGCATTCCCGTCTTAGAAGAGTCATTCCCTCCTGCACATCAGAGAAGAGGAGAATGCCTCTTCTAAAATGACACTTTTCATCTGCAGTTCTTACAAGCAGGGCTTTTTTTGTAGAAAAAGCCCAGCATAATAGGCCACACCCAACCGTGGAAACTCATTAGCATATTAGGGCACACCCCTGACAGCACAGCCCATTTGGCATATTAGGCCGCAGCCCCGTGTTGCCAGAAGTGTGCTCCTCCAGCCACACCCACCTTTTGCTTCTTATTCTGCTTGTTTGTTGTCCAAACCCAGGGCTTTTTTGTAGCAGGAACTCCTTTACATGTTAGGCCACACACCCCTAATGTAGCCAATCCTAATGAGTTTCTGCTGTTGGGTGTGGCCTATTATGCTAATGCGTTCCTGCTGGGTGTGGCTAACTTGGGAGCCAGCCGGAACTCCGTTCCTGCCCCAAAATAGCCCTGCTTACAAGTGCTTGTATTAAGAATTAATTTTTAAACATTCTGCTGCACAATTAATCAGGGGGGTACCTTTTTGGGTGGATGAAAAGGATTCTTATAAATCAGTTAATCAGCTCAATGTTGCAGGTCCTCAAGGAAGAAAACTTGTATAAAACTTTCCTGAGCAGCTACTAGGGTTGCCACGTCTGGGTTGGGAAATTCCTGGAGACTTTGGGGGGTGGATCCGGGAGAGGGCGGGGTTTGGGGAGGGGAGGGGCTTCAGCATGGTACAAGGCCACAGAGTCCACCCTTCAAAGCAGCCATTTTCTCCAGGGGAAGCCAAAAATGAGAGATCACGGGAAGAAGTGGCATTCCAAAAATAACATCTGTGACAAAAATAACGAAGAGTCAATAAAAATAAGTTGCAAAAACATTTACTGTAGTAATTCTGTAGAAAATTTTCTTCTATTATCGCTCACACACTAGCGAATACTGCGCAATGTAAATGTTACGTGTGAAGAACCGGACACGGTAGTCAAGCAGGAAATTTCACACGGAAGCTCAATCAAGCACAGCACAGCGTTTATTGAAGCATGATTTGCAAAGCATGGAGAGAGACGCTTGAAGGCAGTCTCCAGGCATCTCTCTGATTTTTGTTGCACAGCACAGAAATTCTTATACTCCTATCTCTCTGGCTGGGCTGACCAATCGGCCACGCCCCCTCACAATCTTACCTAACTCTAAACAAAGTTCCCCCCCTTCCCATGCCCCATTCATCTTCAGTACTTTTCCATTACCTGGGTGGGATTTGTCTTGTTCACCTAGCTGGGGCCTCTTTTACCAGCCTGTATCCTAGCAATGCCCTGTCCCGTTATCTGCTAAAGGCAGGCCCTGTGTGGCACTAAAATCTTAGGAATGTCTGCATGTAAGCTAGGTACTTTTTCTCAGCAGAGATTCAGAACATCTTTAAATATACTTCTGCTTCCCCCCCCCTTTCATAAACAGTTCGTTTCACAGTATTTGCTTTATCTGAGCGTGTAGCAATCCCAATTCTTATCAATCAGTACTTATCAACTCTTGAAGGAAACGTTCCATGTTGACTCTCTAATAACAGAACCCAAAGTCTTCACAATGTCTCAAGACTTTTATGTTTGCCTTCTAGAATCCAGCTAATACCTTGTGAAGACCTTGGGTAAATGTTTTTGCAACTTATATTTATTGACTCTTCGTTATTTTTGTCACGGGTGTTGTTTTTGGAATCCCATTTTCTCCAGGGGAGCTGATCTCTGTCAGCAGGAGATCAGCTGTAAAAGTGGGAGATCTCCAGGCCCCACCTGGAGGCTGGCAACCCTAGCAGGTGCCTGAAAGCAACTCCTGATCATAGCAGGTCATCTGGGAAGTGGTTGTTATCGGGGATTTTTTTGTACAAAAAGCCCAGCAGGAACTCATTAGCATGATACGCCACACCCAACTTCAGAAACTCATTAGCATATTAGCCCCCACCCCCATGCCTTCCCTTGGACAGGCCGGGAGAGGCATTTAAATGTATCCTCGATCCTTGCAGGGGCCCCCTTGGCCCGCCTGCCTCGGAGTCACCGGGGGGGGGGGGAGTCACTCTCCAGGCCTTCCCTCTGTAGCCAGGCACGCAGAGGTTTTGGCTGTAGTGGGCGTGGCCAACTCTGAAGCCAGCCGGAACTCCGTTCCTGTGCGTTCCTGCCCAAAAATAGCCCTGGTTGTTATCGAGCCAGGCCCCTCCTCCCAATCCACTGCAGCGATGCTGGCAAAGATTCAAAAATCTCAAAGAGGCAGAGTGAATGTATGATTGCAGTAGGACATACAGAAGGAGTCCCCAACAGGGTGACCCCCTTTCCTGGCACGCGCCAAGTGTTCTTAGGAAGCGGTCAAGGCTTTTGCCCAGCAGGGGTTCTAATTGTCCACTTGGGATCTGATTGGCTGGGCAGATTTTTAAAAAACATTGCTTCGGCAGCAACTCTACCACAACAGAAGGATCTGCACAGGATGACTGAAGCTGGGTGTATACAGGAAAATAACACTGTGTTAATTTCAAAAGGCATGGCTGTTAAGCAGGACTTCTCGTCATCCTCATACTGCGGATCAGGGGCTGGAACTGAGGGAGAGTAGCTTGACGGAGGCCACTGAGTGAGTCTGTGGCAGAGGTGAGATTTAAATCTCCTGGTCCAGAGCTCCTTCTTTTAGCCGTGGTAGCAGGGTTTATTTTTGGGCAGGAACGCACAGGAACGGAGTTCCAGCTGGCTTCAGAGTTGGCCACACCTACTACAGCCAAAGCCACTGCATGAGTGGCTACAGAGGGAAGGCCTGGAGAGCGACTCCGAGGCAGGTGGGCCATGAGGGGGCTCTGGAAGGATCTAAATGCCTTCCCCAGCCTGTCCAAGGGCTGGCTTGCCAAGGGAAGACATGAGGGTGTGGCCTAATACGCTAATAAGCCGGGCTGTCAGGGTGTGACCTAATATGCTAATGAGTTTCTGCTGCTGGGTGTGGCCTATTATGCTAATGAGTTCCTGCTGGGCTTTTTCTACAAAAAAAAGCCCTGCGTGGTAGTATGCTTTGGGGGAAGTAGCTTTTGTATTTTCAGTGCTGAGTATGCGATGGTCTGACTCAGGGCTATTTTTGGGCAGGAACGCACAGGAACGGAGTTCCGGCTGGCTCCCAAGTTGGCCACACCCAGCAGGAACTCATTAACATAATAGGCCACACCCAACAGCAGAAACTCATTAGGATTGGCTACAATTAGGGGGTGTGGCCTAACATGCAAAGGCGTTCCTGTTCAAAAAAAAAAAGTCCTGGGCTTTGACAACAAACAAGGTAAAGAGAATAAGAAGCAAAAGGTGGGTGTGGTTGGATGACCACACTTCTGGTAACATGGGGGTGTGGCCTAATATGCGAATGAGTTCCTGCTGGGCTTTTTCTACAAAAAAAGCCCTGGTCTGACTTGTTACTCCGCATGTACAGAGATAATGCCTTTTGGGGCATCCTTTCCTCCCCAGGTAAGAAGAACTCGATCCTGTTGCGCAAGCGGGCAGAACACAGCTCCAGCAGCGTGAACAATGAGATGATCCAGCAGATTGTCAAACACGACCGCGACATGGCCCATAACATCCAGGACTTGCCGCCAGTGATGGCCGGGCGGGAGTTGAGCGGCAAGCCAGTGATCTGGGAGCCGCTGGTGCACGCCCCTCTGCAGACTGCCGCCGCCACTACCAACGTGGCCATCGCACTGACTCACCAGCAGAGCCTGGCGGCTCACATCTTCCTGCCCCCATCCTCTGTGTCCAGCCCCCTCTCTCCGGACTCTGCCTTCATCCCCCGGAACCCCCGGCGTTCCCAACCCAGCCTGGGTGGCTCACGCCCTTCCTCGGTCAGCTCCCCTGCTTCGGGGGCTCAGTCCCATTTACAGACGCCGGCTGCCGGGTCCCCTTCTTCCCCCATGGTCCAGTGCCCGCCGCCCTTGGAAAACATAGGGCCTAGAGGAGGACCTCCGGGACAAGCCATCCCTCGGCCAGTCCAGATGGGAGAACCGGTCCCCGGAGCGAACCAGCCGCAGCTCTCCAAATCACGCGGTACTTCGGTCTCCACCTCTCTTCTGCAGCAGCCCACAAGCGCCTCGACCATCCTTCCCGGACGAACTCTTCACTACAGCCTGTCCCGAGCCACCGGCTCCCACATCTCCCTGTTTCTGCAGCCTCAGCAGCTGATGAAACACCGGAGCACGCAGGGCCTTTCCGTGGGCCGCCTCACCCAGGATATAAGGCCGCTTTCGGCCTCCCAGCCCTCCTTACCTAACCGGCTCACCCTCCAGGCGGACATGGGCCCCTCCCAGCAGGCCAGGAAGTCAGCTGGGAATCTCACCCACCGGTCGTCTCCCTCGGTCACAGGGCTCCTCTCCAAACCAGCCACCGGCACTGCAGGCCAGCCTGCCTCGACCCAGCAGGTGCCTTTGGGTTCTAGCCGATCCATGAGCGGGGCAAGCACCCCGCAGTCCCCTGCCTCCACGCCCCGGCGTGTGGCCAGCCCATCCCGTAAGGGCTCTGTGGTATTTAGCCCTGAGGTGGACACCGGGAAACCAAAGCTCACGTCCAACATGTGAGGCCACAAGAAAGCCCAGGGCAGCATCGTCTGACACGTACGGGGTAGAGGACTCGGCTCCAGGAGAACGAAAGAGCCGGGGTGGAACCAAGGATGGGGGGAACGGGCAAAGGCAGAGTTCTCTGTCACCGGGCAGGTGGACATCTCTGGAAGGTAGCTTGGTGTGTCTCAGCGGGGAGGATAGGGAAGCCTTTTCTTCAGCCCCTCGATAACTTGGAACTCTGCGGTAGAGAGAAACCGCCTGAAGGTTGAGCCAAGCCCCTTCCGTCCATGTGGGAAAACCATCCCTGCCTCATCTCTGCCCCTTCAGGGATAGCGCCTCTCGTGCACCCTGTCTAGGCCTGACTTTGACGGTAGCCTGTGGTTTTGGTTTCCTGTGTGTCTGAACCCTTTGGGCCCTGGTTTTAAGGCCTTTCGTGGGGGGGGGGGAGGCCTTGGGGTGGGAGGGAACTGCATAAAGGGTGACAACATCCTTGTTTGATGGGGGGAACCTAGTAATGGAGCAGTTCTAGGGCTCTCTCCCTCACCACAGCCCCGTGTTCCAAGCATGAAGGAAGAGGCCTGAGAAAGCAGGCCGAAGAGAAGGCCGAAGTTTTTTTCGCGTGAGGAAGTGCTCCACTTAAACTGCCCCACCCAGTCCAGCCCTGGGCAAGTAACTGCCAGTTTATGGACGCTCCTGGAGGAGTGACTCCCCCCATCCCTCCCCCTCCTTTAGGAATATTTTTTAACAAGGAGATATTTTATGGAGTTATTTTTTTCATACCCCCCCCCCCGATTTGTGCAATATGCATCTCAAGGCGTGTCGTGCGAGTGTGTGTAACCGTAGAAACCCTGGTTCCGTGGGGAGAGAAGGGAGGGCCAGTTTGGCTCCCAAGTCCCTCCTCTTCTGTCCGTCTCCACCACCCCAGAGACAATGGGATGGAAAGCCAAGCCCGCGTTTGCCGTTACTGCCATAAGCTCAGCTTCTGTGCTGGGAGGCGCCCACCCGCTCTCAGACGGCAAGCTGCGGCTTCTCCATGACCCTGGCTCAGGTAAACTTGAAGGTGCATTAAGGCCCCTGTCTGTGGGCTGCCCCCAAAGGATTGTGCCAGGAGGTTTTTTTTTAAAAAAAATCTAAGCCCTGCCTAGAGGTGCAAGCAGATGACCACATGGCCGTTTTATATCAGATCGATTGAGCTGGTGTAGCTGCTGTTCCCTGCTTCTGTTTATGGGATGAGCGCTGAAAGCTATTTCAGCTGAATGAGGACAACACAGTGTGGCCCTTCTGCAAGTGGGAGAGGGCTTGGACGTGTGAAATTGCTAAAACAATCACTTTCCTCAATTTTAGAAATTAATGTGTCAGAAAGAAGGATTTCAGCTTGCACAGGGAGGGATTTCTTTTAACAAGAGGAGCATATAAAGAACATTGATCAGGGAGTGTGGAAAGGTATGTGGTTAAAGAGTGTTAAGGGATATTTGATCTTCATTCAGCAGTCTGGGGCCTGCATCCTTTGAGCACGTTCTCAAGACCACTTAAAGGTACGTTAGTAATCTCTTAACACCCTTTAAGCACCGTCTTATGCACCTTATCAGGGAAGAGCTATGAAAAGGCAGGATTCTCCCTTCCCCTTCCATCAGTGAGTGTTTCACTGTAGTGCAATTATAAGCAAACATCAATGATTGTGAATGAGGAACAGGACAGCAATAGATTTTCCCAAATTAACTAACAAGTAAAAGGGTGTGTTGTCAGGTACGGGCCCCTAGTTCCCTTTGTATCTGATAACGGACCCCATTTCAGGGGGATCCATCCTGGTTGGGATTAGGTGGTTTTGCACCTTCCCTTTGAATCAAATAACCAGAGTCTTAACAAGATTTCCACTCTGTTCTGTATGGGTTCTAACCCACTAGACCATGACTATTGTGTGTGTGTGTGTTTTCCTTTCTTCTCACTGCCCTCTGTGCTCCTTGCCTCCTGTTAGGAGGAAGGAGCTGGAGTTTGTTCCGGCCACCCACATGAGTGGTGTGCCATTGAGGAAGGAGGGAGGAAGGAGGCTGGACCCCAGTTATAGCTCTCAACCCCCCCACACACACACACACGCTATGGGTACCTGTCGGAGCTGCCCGTCACCAGCACTGATCTATAATAATAGACTAGCAGAAGTGCCCTGTTTTCATCTGGTCCTTGTGCCTAAACACTGCCAGGGTTGATGGGTGGGCTTCTTATGGGCCTGGGACAGCCTCACCCCTCACAAAAAAAAAAGTCTATCCTCCCCATCCTTCCAGGAGGGTTAGGGTCCCTCCAAGTCCTGTGGCCCTGCCCCTCCTCTCCAGGAACCAGTAGTTTGCGATGTGCATTCAATCTGTGGCTCTGCCAAGTGGCCAAACTTTTGCGTGAAAAGGTGTTGCTTTCCGATCCAGCCGTGTTACTGATTTCAGGGTAGACTAGTCGCCCAGAACCTCTTAGATTTCTTCTTTCTGGCCTCTTCCTCCAGTTCTGCTGCTGCTGCTGCGCTGTAAAACGCTTGGTTTTACTGTTTCCCCACCACCACCTCTAGAGTCTGGGGAGGGGGGCAGAAGCAACACATCCAGTGCCGCTCCCCCACCTTATCTAGAAGGGGAAGAGCTGGGGGGGGGACTCTTTGACACAATCAGCAATAGGACCAGCAACCCCCCACCACAGCCCGTTCCTCTCTAGATTACTGCTACACCTCTGGCGTAGAGGTGCTAGGCACATAAGGTAGGCCCAGGGCAAGAACCTCTCGTGTCATTTCTCTACGTAGGTGAGGATGTTGAAGGATGCCTTCCTTTGCCAGGTGGGCCTCTGCCAGCTTGCTCTAACCTGGCGGGACGTCCTTTTGAGGTGTGTTTCCGAAGGAACAGCCAGTACTGCCTTTTGCCCGCTCTATCCCTTCTCTGCCCCTCCCGCCTCGGTCCCCTGTGACTCCTCTGGTAGGAGCCCCAAGTTTGATCACGTAGGTTCAGAACATTCCAAAATGTCTTCTTGTTTACACTTGATCGGGTAGAGCCATTTTCTAGCTGCCATTCCCATAGACGTACTGTGGAAGTGAGGGGGAGCCTGTGCCCTCCCCCGCTCTGAGTGGACCCCATGTGGGAGGTGTAGGCTGTGTCCTCGCTGGAATCTGGTTTCCCCAGTTTTGCCTGATGTTGCTAGCCACGCTGCCAAGGGTAATGAATGTCTTGGGGGGGGGGGAGAATCCAGGCATGTAGGTCATCTGGCCTCATTGCCTCTGAATATCCATGGAAGCTCCACGCTTGCCCTCGATTGGGTCTTCAGGTCCCATTTGTGGTTGTTGACAAAGGAGGTATTATCAGGCGAAGGTTCTTTTAACCTAGGGTTTTTCCGCATTCTCGTCTTCATTGCTAGTAAGTTCCTGTTTCTTCCATCTTTCCCCTCCTTGTTCTGCACATGTTTTGCTCCCTCTAATGGTCGATTTGATATTACACCAGTTTATGTCTCCTGCAGTGGCTCAAGTGGTTAAGACGCTGAACTGCAGGCTGCGGAAGGTGAGTAGTTCAGCAGTTCGAGACCCGGGTTGCCGCATGACGGAGTGAGCTCCCGTCTCTAGTTCCAGCTCCTGCCAACCTAGCCGTTCGAAAGCAAGAAATTGCAAGTAGATAAATAGGTACCACTTCGGTGGGAAGGTAACAGCGTTCCGTGCGCCTTGGTGTTTAGTCATGCCGGCCACATGACCACGGAAACATCTTCAGACAGCGCTGGCTCTTCGGCTTTGAAACGGAGATGAGCACCGCAACCCTAGAGTCGGACTCGACTGGCTTTCGAGCAAGGGAACCTTTACCTTTTACCTTATGTCTCCTTGCAGATTTAAAAGGCTTTCCACATTCTCATTTTCCTTGCTTGTAAGTTCCTGTTTCTTGGGGGAGGGGGGTGCTGTTCCACATGCGTTTTGCTCCCTCTCGTAGTTGATCTGATATTTTACTGGTTTATGTCCAGCATAAGAATCTGCAGTTTAAATCTGCAGGGAGATATGCCAGACATAAACTGGTGTAATATTGAATTGACCACTAGAGGGAGCAAAAGACATGCAGAACAGAACACACACCGCAAAAAAAACAGCACAGACCAATTCCGCAAAAGCAGTTGTTCCGCCCTCAGTTTCCCATTTCCCCAGTTTGTAGTGCTCTATTTCCCACTATTTGCGGTATTTTGACCTGCAACCCCCCCTCCCCCGATTTCTCCCATGTAATAAGGATCAAGAAGACGCGGGGGAAATCAGGGGGAGATGTGGGTCAATATGCCACCGCGCAGCAAATAGTTGGAAATTCAGCAGTACAATCGGAGGGGAATGGAAGACCGAGGGTGAAACAACTGCTTTTGCAGAATCTGTCAGGAACTGACAAGCAAGGAAAATGAGAATGCAGAAAAGCCCAAACTACAGGTCTTTATTATTTATTTATTCCCATTTATTAATCGCCTATCCCCACAGTTGTGGGACGCTAAGTGATGTGCAAAAGTTCTAAAAGCATAAGAAATGTAAAAAACCATGTCCAGCAATGTACAGTAATTAAAAGCAAGTAGCAAAATTTTGTACCTTCCTACCATATCTGGTATGTGGGTGCTTCGCATATTCAGGGGGGAGTAAGTTCTGAAGTTCTATGCCGGATGTGAACTGGTGTAATATCGAATCTACCACTAGAGGGAGCATAACACATGTGGAACAGGAAACCCCCTCCCCCAGAAGAAACAGGAAATTACAAGCAAGGGAAATGATGATGTGCAAAAGCCCCTAGAGACCCATAGTAGCTGTGGTTAGAGGAGATTATCCTTGTGTGGGACATGGCCAATATGAGTGTGTTTGTGTGTGTAAGAGTGTGTGTGTGTGTCTCTCTCTCTCTCTGTGTGTGTGATGCACTCATGTGCGTGGGGATGTGTGCAATCTAGTCACCAAAGACCACGATCCATCACCTTTACACTTTATTGAACAGTGTACAGAGCTTGTAGATTTCATATCACAGGGGGGAGGGGAATTAAAGCTTTCCCCC